GGTTTTTTAATTATTAATGGTTTTAAATAAATTATTTAAATTACCAAAAAATTTTCCCCTTTGTTTTTAAAACCTGTTTTAGAAATAAAAGGTTTTTTGATGTTTTTATATTAAATTTTATATTTTTTTTTTAAATAAAAAATAAATATATTATAATATTATCTATTTAGATATACCCGGGTATATGTATATATATATATATATATTTTAAATATATATATATATATATATATATATATTATTTTATATATAATATTATATATATATATATATATATAATTAATATATTATATATATATATATAATATTATTATATATATTATAATATATTTATATATATATAATATATATATATATATATATATATATATATATATATACATATTTATGCATTTTGGGAGTAATGTTTTGGGTAGGTAGGTAAACAGTTGGCTAAGAGTTGAAACAAGGTATGTCCTTGGAGGGTAGTTTAGCCTCCTATTCTCTCCCCCTTTTGGCGAGTTGATGTCATGTAGGGATTAACTGTGTTAATTCATTTCGTTCTCCCTCCCGGGACTCAGTGTGCATTGACTGAGCTACCCCTCCAGTACTCCACCTTATTCTCACTTATTCAGAAGTGAAGTCTGCGGACAGTTATACACTGTTACCTTCAGTTTACGATGTGACGGCCTGTGTCAAGTTTAGAACTTTAAGTGATATATTCCTTATGCCAGGGAGTTACTCAGTGAAGGTGTCCATTCTCATTGTATATACTCACGTACAAATAATGTCATTATAGAGGAAGCAGTAATATTCCTCTGATCATTAGCAAGTGTAGTGACCATATTGACAGTCTCCAGAGGGGGTCTATGATGTACATTCTATTTAAGAGTTTTCTTGTGTGAATTAAAGTTTCTGACAAAGTGATATTTAATAGATATTTATGAATATCTGAAGTATTTAAGCTTTTAAATAAAAAGAAACTAGAAAAGACTGAGTAACTATTATTTGTGCCTTACATTTCAAAGTTTGGAAGTATCTTCTCATTCTGTGAAGAGTATTGTTACGGAGTGCACTAACCTGGCTAAAGATTAAGATTCGAACTGTTCTTCAAATGGCTCATGATTTGCCATTGACCGAACACTTGGCTCATCGTAAACGTGGCATAAACTCAAGCACACTTATTTTTGGCCAAGCATGTACTCTCAGGTTACAAAGAAGTATAATTCTTGCAATAGGTGTCAGGTGCTTGCTGCACAAAATACACACTCCTAGTTCCTGTATATTTTTAAAATCTAAAACTTCCTTCCTGCAGAAACGAGATACTCCGCCATAGAAAAGGAATGTTTAGCCCTTGTGTGGGGTATCTCCAAACTCAAATTTTATTTACTGGGAAAAGAATTCATTTTAGAGACGGATCACAAATCTTTGATATACCTAGAAACTTTTAAGGGATCCAACAGTCGCCTCTTGAGGTGGACTCCAAGCTTTCAAGTTCCATATTGTGTTTATCAATGGTTCATCCAATTATTTCTCTGACTGGTTAAGTCGTGACAGTCAGTAGAAGATTTGGTGCCTTACGCGACTTCCACGAGTTAGAACTTTTTCCTCGCTTATTCTTCTTTTAAGGGCCCGGTAGGGGGGAGTGTGAGGGAAAGTTAAAAGATAGGGTAGCAAGCGGTTAGGGTGATGATAGTTTGATTCCCGGCTGCTTGTTGGTGGGTCAGTCTAGCTCCACTATCCCCCCCCCCTGTTTCCCCCCACCCCGAAAGGTGAGGTGGGGCTCCGGCCAAACAGTAATCACTCATAAAGCCCCCAGAAAAACGTAAGTGAAAGCCTCTGTTCCTTTTATTTGTGGACTTATGGTTAAAAGCTTCACTTTTGATCAATAAAAACTTAGTTCTTTCAGCCTTGATCCCCATGTTAGTGTTTTGATTATCCCAGTTTTTTAGGTATTGTTTATCATGGGAGTGATTTTTTAAGCAGTGGGTAACCTGTCTATCTTTCCAGCTTGGAATGACAGATCGGGTCACCTGCCAACCAACGAGAAGTGTTGATGGAGAAGGACTTTTGCAAAAGTCCGGAGATGTCAGTTTTTGGATCTACCTACCTGATTAACTGTAGGCGACAGCAGACAACAACCCCTCATCTTGGTAGTGGTAAAGAACCTGCTTTCCTGTCATCTGGACTATTAAAGGCTATAGACTCTGTGAAGAACTAGCCATTGAGTTATCACCAACACCTGTGACCCCCCCCCACATCAGCAATGGCTACAATTTCTACAAGACGGTGTCAACCTCAACCAGACACTCCAGTATAACTGTACATATTAGCGTTGAATTCAAATGTCATTTTTTTTTTCATTTTCATTTTCATTTCTTTTTCTTTCATATTAAAAGGATACAAACATTTCATTTTCAATGTTTAATCTTTGCATTTAATATTAATATAAACAGGGTGTTTATCCCTTCACGGAAAATTCAACCTCCTTTTCTATTCAATCCAATGGTGCCTCACAACATCCCAGGCCAGCTTGGTTAATCCCCTCCCTGGACGTTTGGTTACAGGCTGATAAGCCTTCACACAGTGAACTCACCAACCTCCCCCCTCCCGTGGCCACGCTCCCTCGCGGCACCTCCACCAACATTCCCCTCCCGTGGCCACGCTCCCTCGCTGCACCTCCACCAACCCCTCTCCCGTGGCCACGCTCCTTCGCTGCACGTCCACCAACATCCCCC